AACCCTGTTGGGGCAAAAAAAAAAAATAAATGTAGCGCATAGCTTTCAGAAAGTCGAAAACAAGCTAACGTTCTTCACTTCGGGAATCTGGTTTTCGCTAAGCATAGGCACTAACGCGTGTCTACATTACTTTATCACTCACGTATCAGCGTGTATATAACGTACTTGTGTTAATCGTTTTCGTACTACCGTCCTAAGATTCAAACCTGACTTAACAACCCAAATCGACAGCTTGAAACATGAGCGCTCAGCGTTGTACGAAGCAGTGGTGCAAATGTATCCTCCATGTAAGCAGGAGTGCGCGCAACGAGACAGTAATGGTGTGAGCACGTTATTTATTTAACACTGAAGTCATGTTTTCGTTTCATTCAAAGCTATGCTTGCGTTACGCTCATGTTTGCGTTGAGTTCAAAGGCTAATTGCTGATAATAGTGTTAGCTATATCTCTGTCACGAGACAAGTTGGCACAGTGATCGGTGGGAAGTCAGCCATGGCTGAGTGTCGCTACACCTGTGAAGGAAGTATTGGGGGGGGGCAGTGGGGAGGGACACCGAAAGTTGTTCGACGCGTCGTTCGTCGTTTTATTTCGTTTTTCGCGGACGCGTTTCTCTTGAACCTAGTACAACGACACATCTTTCGTAGCACTTAACTTGGATATAATTCGCCTTGAACGCGTGGTGAACCGATCACGTTTGCCGGACATAACAATCACGAGATGAGTCTCCATAAGCAATCTAACGTAGAATTCCATGATGTCAGCTTGAAAGGGGGGGGGGGGGGTACACGCCTATTTCCCGACGTTTCTCATTTAAATTGCGTATATATTGTGAGTAAGACAAATAAATGAACGACTCTTCATTCTCCGTATGATCCTCACTTATACATATTCGTCAACCATACATATAATCATCAATGTGAATCAGCCCAAGCCTAGCTGAATAAAGCAGTTTCTCCTAATGTACACACACGTACAAACGCACACACGAAAGTACATAAACTATAGTTGAACGCTACGCCAAAAAAAAAGAATTTCTTTCATCGCTCATGCAATGAGGATTACGTGCGTATGACCAAGAAGTTACTGATAAACGTTTACAACATATTTAACCTGGATATAAAATACCCGCTTATACTCTTCGAGTCACGTTATGGGAGCTACATTCAGATACAGTAGAAAAATAAAAAGAGTCGGTAAAAGTTGCTAGGACAACCTCTCGTTATGGGTACGTTTCTAGAAGTCACAGCATTCCATAACGGCGTCGAAAGGGCGAAGAGAGTAAACTCAAAGGGCAAGAGAGGAGGCAGTGTTCTTGCGCCTACCACAAGAATCGTCGAGACGCGAACATCGCAGGCGAACAGCGAGAGCGGAAAGCAAAAGAGACAGCGTGACAAGATCATCGGGTGCTTTCCCTCTTTCTCCACCCGGATTGGGATCCCTCGCTTCTTAGCGGAAGTCATTTAAGCCAGCCAGCGGGCTTCTTCCCCCGCTGCGTTGCACGGCAGCATTCGGCATGGCGAGCAAAGAGCAATCTCCGCCGCCTAATTGTCGATACCGGCACAGTCCTAATTGCAATTAGCGAGTGCTCCCCTCTGTTCGTCCTCGACGGTCGGAGTCAGCCGCGCGGGACCGTTTAGTCTGGACGCACCGCCTTCCTTCTGTTGTCTCTCTGCAGGCCAGACGAGCTAGCCGAACCATGTACAACTCGTTTCTTCATTGTGTTCGTACGTATATCTGTGTGTACCGGCCAGACGCTGGTTCGGTTCGCTGTTTCGTGTGTCTTGTGCACTGTTTTAGTTACTTGTTTCATTTATTCTTCGTGTGCTTGCTGAGTGAATAGAGCGCACTTGTCGCGATTGAGTCTTTTTGCTCTTTTTCTTTATCTGACAGCAATACTTCCGGTAAGAAAAAAATGACAATAAAAAATCCAAATAAAACAAACTCATCCAAGATTCTCTCTTCTTTTTAATATACGTTTAAGATAATAAGAACTCATAAAGACTTGTTCCAGTGGATGAAAAAGCGGATGAGGCCCTCTCAGTCATACCGTTTTGTAAGAGCGAGAGGAAAGGCTAAAAAATAGAGACTAATCGGCACTGATATTTTCACGCCTGCATAGACACAAAATTTATAATAACGCTTATCGAAAGGGATATTAGCGTCGTATCGTGTTCACGTCACTTCATTTTTTTTGTCCGTAGAATGGCGCTATCAGAACACTCGTTCTTTCTTTAGGATTTCTAAGGTAATGCGTAACTGTTCGAGGTGCTTTGCACTACGTGGTAACGACGACATAGAGAGGCACTTAGACAATGGCAAAATTACTATAGTCCATCACATGATGAAAATGGCACACGTCGTCCCATTCGCGTAGTGATTCTGAGGGAAACGCGACTTGAACGCGCCAATTTATCCTCCGTCTTGTCCGTTCACTTACGCGTATGGCTATGCTCATAACCACGGCACGACTCATTGACAATGTTTCGCTTCTATCATACTCTTAGGCGCCACTCGGCATTTACCCAATTACCAAATACGTTGCCCCGCGAATTCGCACGACAAGCGCGTTTTTTTTTCTGATGGCGCATTACATGCTCGCTATGGCTGAACATTAAAATGGCCCTAACGTGTCATAATATGCGAATGGAGTTCTGCTTTTGTTGCCGCACAAATGGCGCTGATTAAGCGTAGATTTGTACCCCACTCGAATATTTCTGTCTCTCCTCTTCCCTCCTTCTACCCCCCCCCCCCTAAAAAACTGCCCGACTATAAATGAAGTTCATTCGCTCACTAACAGGCTATTCTTATCTCTCGCTGCTATTACATATCTGAGAAATGATCGAAAATTATGCGAATCGTAAGAATTCGTGACTGGAATTATTGTCTTTACCTTTCCAAGCAGTTTACTTTCTAATTCGTATTCTAAAATTTCTGGATCGAGGTGTAGGGCAGAGAAATTGTATATCTATCTCAGATGTTCAAGACCAGAATTTCGCTTTGTTAAGCAAAGTCACGTTGTTAACTTCCAATTTTCACCTTTTATTTATATGCGACCATCTTGGGGAAGAAAAACGAAAGATGCAGGTAACACTAAGCAAGTATGAAAAAACAACATAAGAACTTTTTTTGTCTCCAAATTGAACATATATGTTGGAGTTGGATTCCAGACAGTCATTCTCCTCCACATGAGTGAATGTGGTGCTTACAAACTACAATAGTATTTGTTAAGCATCTCCAATTATTTATTTTAAAACAAAAGTTATTCGTCATACTTGAACGTGGCGCTTACAAACAAACAAACTACAATATTATGCTAAGCATCGTTGATTTAGTTATGTTGCAAAGAAAATGTATTCTTTTTCACAAGCAGTTCACTCCTTCGGATTTCTAAATAGAATAGCGAATCAGCTCACCTAGAAATAATAAATAAAAGTAACTAAACACTGATTCAAAACAGGTATTTTTAGTCGTGATCTAAGAAATCAAGCACGTGAATGCAATAATGTGTATAACAATTCAATGAAAATTAGTTAGGAGCTTGCAGATAACAACACTAAATAAAAACAAAGTACTTTAGTGAAATTTTGCTTGCTTTATTTATTTATTTATTTATTTATTTATTTATTTATTTATTTATTTATTTATTTATTTATTTATCTATTTATTTATTCATTCATTCTGGTCGTCTAGCCCAAATGTTCAATCAGTGGTGGGGCAACAAGTAAGGACACTGCCATTGAGCTAGAGAAACAGCAGTAATTGTTGTACGAGACGTACCTCAATGTTTGAAGTTCAATGAATGATTTTCATTAACCAACGCCTGTGTCAAACCATGCACCGAGTAGGCCAGTATTTTGAGTTTTTAAAATTCTGGGTAGATAATTTTTGCAGGACATGATGCCTGTTGTGCAGGGTCTTGACTAAAAAAAGTCCACTCTTTTTTGCTGTTACAGCGAGCGGACATAAACAGAAGGGGCCACTAAACACGAAAAAAAAAAACATTTCGCGTTTTAATAAATTACGCTTTCACAATACCAAAAAAAGCAAGCTTGTTCTGTGAAGATGCTCAGTATGAGAAAAAAATGCGTGGAAAGAAAAAAAGCGGCTAGCGACACATTTTTGAAATTACCGCACCTAACGTAACTACGTCATACATTTCTACGGTGTCTACTGGGACCTACATCTTCCCTAACCGGTAAAAATGAAGTACATTCTGCTCTGAGAAGTCGATAGTTTTAACATGACCTTCAGGATGATTCGTATAGCAAATATTGCCAAACTACGAAAAAAATGCACTTTGAACCGTAACGTCTTGTGAGGAGATTTTGGGGCGAAATTTAGGCAATCAACTCAGACCTTGAATTTATAGAGAGAAAGAGAGAGAATAAATTGAGAAAAAGGTGAGGAGGTGAATCAGAATTGTATCATCTGGTTAGCTGCCCTGCATTCAGTAGAGGAGAAAAAAGATGAGAAATAAAACGAAGAAAAACTAGACACGCGACAAAAAAAAGGCTATAGCGTCCCCGCCCCTTAAATTTATACCTTCTCATTGAAACTGTGATGGAAAAAGTAACACCATTGGGATCCTGGGAGTAAACTTTATCAGTGCAAACTTTAAATAAGGGTTTGGGTTTTACGTCCTAAAAAACCACATAATTATCACAGATGCCGTATTCGAGGGCTCCAGAAATTTTGACCATCCAGGACTCATTAACGTGTACCTCAATACAAGCAAACGAACCTCAAGCATTTTAGTGTCCATCGAAAATGCAGCCGCGCAGCGGAGATATGATCCCGTGGCCTGCGGGATCAGTGCAAACTTGAGCTTCAATTCACTTTAGTGTCTTCAACGAAACATCAGCGCAAGAAACAGATCGAAACCACAATCTTCGTCACACTTGCGCGAAACGAACACTAAATGTAAGCGAGCTTGTATTTTTTATGTTCAATTTAAGTAAGATATGATAAGAAAGAGTGCAACTACGTTAATTGGTACTCTTACCTGAGATTCCGTCATAGGTCCACCATTCTTCCCAGTTGCCTAGGACAGCTGCAAAAAGTGCAAGGAAGACAGTTTAGTAACTAGGCGCCAGAAGGACACACAATAGTCATTGCATAACCTTTAGGTGGCAAAAACAAAACAACGACACAGAGACAAGAAGAACACGAAGGACACGAGCGCTGTTATGTTTTATAATTAGAAACTAATGTGCCTTGCTATTTCAGTAAATTAGTGTCAGCTATAAAGGGCGATGTCGCTCTTAGCTCCGAATTAACGCGTAACCCCAGAAGAGTTGTACCAATGACTTGGTGATCTATCCCAACGTTAGTAAAGGTGGTGTAAATATGTATCGGGGGTGTCTAACATGCGTTGAGTATCTCTCACACCTAATCGTACAGTTCAATAAGATAATTGTTATTTAGCAGTAATGCTCTCCTTGACTGATTACTCTTTTCAATTTTGCTTCCTGCCATCCCGTATCTTTCGTACCTCTTCCTTAGCTGGATATAACTAGTTTATTCTCCAGTTCTTTTCTTTATGTCTCAGTACATGCTGTTCTTGCTGCTTTTTTTTTTGCTGTGACAATCTCTTTGGAACTAATAATGATGTCATGTCTCGTTCACTCCAAAATTCATCATAAACCCAGCACTTTACTTATCCTGTAAAGCGTGCTCTGTCTTAATAAGAGCCTTAATGTGGCAAACCAAACTTGCTGTACAATTGCCATTTTCTTGTACATAAAAGCGTGCTTTGCCACACTAATAACAATAGTGCGGCAAAGCAAACTTAAAAGGTTGAAGGATGAAGTGTGACTTTTCCCCTTGCTCTTTTTTTTTTTAATGAAAGCGGCGGTTCCTCTCTCCCTTATATGGCAACAAAGCATACCGATTACTCAGCCGCGATGCACACTTTAGAGATAGTTGGAGGCTTCTGTGGGACAGACGGGCGCATTACGTTAGGCGAAACCAGCTCAAAACGTGTTCTTTATTTTAGGTTTAAAAGCAATAAATGAATTCATGCTCCGGCTTTTACTGGCAGAAAAAAAATGAAACATTTCCTGAAAACTGGAAACTTTGAACGCATCATTTTCACAAGTTTTCTTATTCGCAGCATGGAGTATCGTCTGAAGTGTCATATATTCTCTTATAGCCACATATACTGTACCTCAAATTTATTTCACGCTGTCATTGCTGTAACCATGTGTGCGGCTTTAATTCGGAATAATGTCTGCAACAGTTAAATAGGCACATGCATATTGCTCATTATAACGCTGGTGAGGGCCTCTGTCATTCCACTTCCCTTTCCAAGAGAGTCGGGGCAAGCGTGCGTCCAGGTCAGTTATTTTCGCTTCAAAGACATTGCGGTCATTTCATGTTCGATAGACGACACCACTGAATTAAACTTTTTGACTGCGGGCAGAAAATGTATGTTGCGCTGCCTCTCTGCGCTGCGGCCATAGACAAGGTCGGTCAATTATGCTCCATGAGGAGAGGAGAGAGGGTGAGCGTAATGGTGGTGCCTGGTTTGGCGGTGGTCGTAATAATCGTTGTTGCAGTAGGGTCCAGTGCATAAACTTATACAAGTATGTAATGCGTATAACAATATGCATTGCAATAGAAACAGACTAAACTTTCTGCACGCTAGAGTACCTCATTTTAAATGCGAAGCATTTTTTAGCGAACTTTGGTAACTTTGAGCGTATCTATCTATCTATCTATCTATCTATCTATCTATCTATCTATCTATCTATCTATCTATCTATCTATCTATCTATCTATCTATCTATCTATCTATCTATCTATCTATCTATCTATCTATCTATCTATCTATCTATCTATCTATCTATCTATCTATCTATCTGTCTGTCTGTCTGTCTGTCTGTCTGTCTGTCTGTCTGTCTGTCTGTCTGTCTATCTATCTATCTATCTATCTATCTATCTATCTATCTATCTATCTATCTATCTATCTATCTATCTATCTATCTCTATCTATCTATCTATCTATCTATCTATCTATGCGCTTTTGGGTGCTCTCGTGGTCAACCCTTTAACTTGGCGTGAACCAAATTTAGCATGGGTGGGTAAGATGGTTTGACGAATGTGACGCGCTAGTCAAGGCAAGAATAATGTGACAAGCTCGTCGCATACATCGTCAAACGCTTCCCGCCGGACAGTGGCACATACCCATGGGCGAGTATTTGCCGCTGTTATGCGTGTATGTGCCACAGGTGATATCCACTTACTATCTACCCAGGAACGACGAGAACAGATATGGGCAATTCTAACGCGTGAGTGTTAAGCAATGCCCCACATCGCTAGCGTCGACCTTACGAAGGCATAGAATAAATGTCAGTGTTAAGAAAAACTTGTCATAGGCAGCGTTGACCCCTCAACGAATGCAAATAGTAGATTTCAGCGTCCCAGCAGGAATTGAACCCAAGCATTTTGCGTGAAAATGAAGCATTCTACCACAGAGCTACGCCATGTCTCTCAACTACTTTTGAAATAGACGCCAATATTCGTGAAACGTTAATAGTGGTTGCAGTGCTGCTTACCCAAATTTATAAACATTACACATTTACTTGTTTGATAAAGCCATCGCGATCAGGTTAACGTCAAGTGTAGTTAGGTGCCATGCGCTGAAGTTAATTTATGTAGCATTGGCCAGGGCCAGCATCTTCGCAAGCATCAGCGTTTCATATCAGTTTCTGGTATTGCTAATAGGCATGTTCCAATTGACATCGTTGCGCAAGTGCAAACAACTCGTTATATAAACATCTGCAACTCTTCAACATATGTATGTGCGTGCAACATTTGTACATTTATTTAGCGTCATTTTATGACGTGTCGCTCAATAAAAAAATTGCGACATGGTCACCTTCCCTCCGAATTCTTTGCATAACGTCGATACCCAGCTACGTGGGATCTACCGAATTTTTTTGTCTGCTTACTTACATTCATTCGTGCGACACCCTACACGTCTTACTCTAGTGTTATTAGGTGAACCTGCATAGTGTATTTATTTTATCGCTGGACGTAACGCAGGCAGAACCACGAATAAGTATAGGCAAGACAAAGTAGGTGAGAAATAGAAAAAAGAAAAAAGGAGAGAAAAATCAAAATAAATATAAAGAAAAACAGACTAAAACACTGGAATCAGAAAAAGAAAGAAAGGGAGAATAAACAAATGAGAAGCAAGGAAAGCTGCTGCCCAGCTGCGAACTTCCTTAGGGCTTGACACCAATAGTATGAAGATGCCTTCGTCATTTCATTTCACTTTTGTCTATTTCTTCTAATTCCTTCTTTTTATCTGTTTAATTTCTATCCCTTTTTCTCTTTGTGTCTTTCTTATACCTTTTTTATTTCACGCTCTTTTTAATTCTGTACCTTTTTTTGCTGTTTTCACTCATTTATCTCTTTTTGATTTTCTTTGATCTTTTCTTCCCGTCTTTCTTCTTTTTCTTTGGTTATGCTGTTCTTTCTTTCTGTGATATACTTTGCTCTTTCTACACCTTCTTTCCTCCGTCTTTACATCTCTCATCCTCAACCTCACCTCGCAATCCCAGCGCCTTGCTATGTTATACAAAATATCACCATGCCAAGCTCTGCTAGCGTGCTTCAATAGCCGAGTGGTTACAATGTACGCCTTCGTATAGTGGTTGCGTGGCTTCGAATTCCCGCCTCGGGGAAAAAGTTTTTCTCTAGAACTTCTAATCATTTTGTTCCTTTCCCTTTTTGTTTCTCTCTCTCTCTCTTTATTCGTTGTCGCATCCGTCAGAGTATCCAAATCATACGCTGGGCATATCGGTGCACATGTTCTATGAATGACGCCGGGGATGAAGAACCGGATGAACAGGGTTAACGTGGTGCGTTCCGATTAATCTTGATAATTTTCTCAGGAAGGATCACTACGAAATGGACCGCATAAACAGTTCCGGGGACGTTCCATAAGATATGGTACTTTGCCCATACGTTAAAGCTTTTTTTTTTTTGTAGTTCCGGTGACGATGTCATCCCAATCAATTCATCACCACTCAAACTTTCCTCAAACTTCTGGCTCTGTGTAACTTCGCAATGCGGAATCAATGTGTAACTTCACAGTACTTGTCTTCCGTTAATTTTTTAAAGAGTGAAATACCAAAAAGTCCAGCTTTATCTTTGAATAGAGTTGGTTCCCAAACATCCAGCTATGATGTATGACTGCGCACGTTTTGTTGGTTTTTCCGAGCGTTTGTATTGCGTGCACGTGCACCCCTCATGACAGTTCACCCACGCGGACTTGTAAAGCTTGACTATTCTGACCCCGAAGCGCGCAGTAAATTTGGGATGACGCTTTTACGCTGCAACGCTCGCGCAACGGGGCCCCGCTATCTCGCAAAACAAGAGGAGCGAGTACTGTTTCCATCTCGGTTTCACGACATACTAAACGCCTGCGTCGAAAAAAAGCTCGCGTCCTTCCGGTACGAGTTTTACCGGAAGCTAACGCTAGACCCTCACCGGAAATACAGGAGTAGGGAGACACGCCGCGACGGTCGCATCGTGTTTCCACCACTAAATCTGTTCTAGTGAGAAGCGTAGAAGACGTGTACCGCTGGGCGAGGATAGATGAAGAGAGAGAGAGAGAGTGAAAGATAGAAGGGCGTTGAGGTCGAGCCAAACGCACCGGAAAATGGCATCCTCTGGAAGTTGGCGCGCTTCCGCTTTGCAGCGCGCTCACGTCGTCAGCGTGGGAAGGCATTCGAGACGGATCGGATCGCTTTACGACGCTGACACGGCTCGCATTCTCGCTCGTTAACAGCCAATCGGGCCCAGCTCCGTCTCGAATCACTCCTCTCAGCCTCGAAGGAGGAACTGGGAAGGTAGCGGGTCGGGGCACTGACGTCACGGAGCGACCACGAAATAGGCGACTCCTTGGAGCGTTCAAAGACCCTTCACTTGCCCCTTGCACCACTTTACCCGGCAGTTCCCCCCAACCCCCGGCCAAGCCTTTCCACTCATCTGACCCCTTGCGTGTTGAGTGTCGGGTAGAGAGAGGGAGGTTAATGAAAA